CCCCCCCCCCCCCCCCCAAAAAAATGCTAGTCAAAATTTTGGATCTGCCTAAAATGGGATAGACACAAACGTTTGACGACGGTGATAGCACTTTTTGTGATCTGTAGATGGTAAGCTGAGTCGATCATTTACATTTTGTGTTGCGAAGTTCGCACGACTCTTCTGCCAAGTTGCCCAGGGGCCTAGGTATGTATGTTTGTGTGTATGCACACCCCTGCATCTGGATCACGAAGGGTTGTTGGTCCTGGCAAGGTTGGGCAAGACTGGGGTTCTTTCCGGCCCCTAGACCCCTTTTATATATACCCCATGTCGATGCGTTTTCCAGAGCTTCTTGTCTCCGCCTGGATGCCGTCACATACGGCCGTACGAGATATGCTTGCTTAGCAAATGTAGGTTGGTCTCATTGCGTCGTGTCTCGATCCACGGGATATGGCTTCTGACTTTACGGGACTTCTCTGATTGGCGCGCCGCTAATGTGTCGAAAGGACTTAAATGAATGGCGCTCTTTAGTCTACTATGAGGACCTCTCTATCGACGTGTTGATCTCTTCCCACGTGATACTCCATGTAACAGACCTCGGTATCTGTGTCTTCATACTCCTCACTTGAACTCTTCATTGCTAGAGTGAGAATGATATAAACCGTGGTAGTTATCTGCTGCATGCCAGGTGGTGGAACCCGTCTCTGATCAGTTTCCACGACTACTTTGCTTTGGGTGCTACTAGCCACAACCTGCCAGCGCACGTCGCCGAGCCGCCCGCGATACATACTCTACCAGCGTCCCCGGAGCCCCGGTGTAAACAGTCCCGTCATACCTTGAAGATGGCTCCCGTCCCCTCTCCGCCGCCGACACAGTTTGCGAAACTCTCCTTCCCTGCTCCGGGTGTGGTGGTCGTCACGTTGTCACGACCTGAGAAGCTAAACTGCATGTCTGCCGCAGATGTCGTCGAATTGACCAAGGTCTTCCGCTGGCTTGACGATGAGCCTTCTCTTCTGGTAGCTGTACTTACTGGCGCTGGCGAGAAGGCGTTTTCTACGGGTGCAGACTTGAAGGAATGGCAAGAGAAAGCATCTGCCAGAGGTGCAAAACCTGGTGCTGGTCCCGGCGATGTACCTGGAGCAGTTCCACTGTCCAACCGTGTTGGAAAAAAACCAGTGATCGCTGCCGTTAATGGCATGGCCCTAGGAGGGGGCTGCGAAATAGTTGTGAACTGCGACCTAGTCATTGCCGCCGATACAGCTACGTTTGGCTTGGTGGAGGTCAAGCGAGGTGTTGCACCATATGCTGGTGTTCTTCCGCGGTTGATCAGAACTCTGGGCCTCCAGAGGGCAAGCGAAATGGCCTTGACGGGGAATTACTTTACTGCTCAGAAAGCGATGGAGTGGGGTTTGGTCAACAAGGTGGTTCCGCAACAAGATGTGGTCAAGGAGGCAGTCAAATATGCGAAGGTCATCGCGGAAAATAGCCCTGACTCGGTTATTTGTACCAGAGCTGGACTAAGACAGGGGTGGGAGACTGCAAGTGTCGTGGAAGCCACTGCTATAACAAGAGGAAAAGAATGGGCTGAATTACAGAAAGGTGATAATATCCTCGAGGGCCTGAGGGCGTTCAAAGAGAAAAGACCACCTGTGTGGTCACCCTCCAAGTTATGATGTACCCAAACTATGATGATGGAATGTCAACGCAGCAGATTTCAAGACATCTGCAGCTGGAGGATTCAGGGACATGCAGGAGAGAATCGAACTAGATACCAAGAGATTGGGATCATACAGAATATTGCAGTTCACTTCAACCAATTTTGCTTTCGACAATCACCAGTTTTATCGAGATACTTTGGGCCAATTGCTCTTGAGATGTAGCTGGCACTGTTCTTTGATTCTGGACACATTTAGGATTTGGTCCTTGCTAAGTTGATCGCGTTCTTCAGAACGCAACTATGAAGGACAACCTCCCTCATATCTGCCCGTAGCAGCTTGTCCAAACCACTTTGCTCGATCAACCCACTGATCTTGGCTTTCTTTCAGCTTTTCGTCTGCCCAAACCTGCATAGCGACACCTTGTAATGCACGACTGAAGGCGAATGTCAAAGCCCAAGGAGCCGCATTTGGATTGGATTGCTTCTTTTTGTTGATGGCGTTGAGGAACGAGATTGAGTCCGAGTCGCTAAGACTGCCAGAAAGGAAGACGATGGTTGGTACAAGTGGCGGGACTGTCTTGCTCAGCAGATACACAGTGGCTTCTGCGACCTGTGTCGGGGTCGCTCTCTGGCCGGATTGGTCTCCCCGGACAACCATGGAAGCTTTCAAGACTAGACCAGCAAAATCGACCTTGTGCAGAGACAATCTCTCGAACATTGCAGAATAGGCAGCAATATGAGCCTCCAGAGAACGTTCTAGCGGCTGATCGTGCGTCATTAACACTTCGGGCTCGACAATTGGGATGAGACCAGCCTGCTGCGAGATGGCAGCATATCTTGCTAGGTCCTCGGCGTTGTCCATGATAGAAAGAGGTGACAGCGTGGAGGGAGGGACAATATAAGGACAGCGCCATTTACTGAAGTGAGCGTCTCGCTCATGGCACTGCTTGCATCTGCGGAACAAACCATCCAATCCTTGGGTTGTTGTTTCCTCGGGTGACGTACGTGGCAGTGCCACAGTACCATTGTCGACTTTGATACCAGGGATGATGCCGCGTTCCTTGATGATGCTCACGAAGGATTTGCCTTTGTACTTGGAATCCAGCTGAGCATCGAGTTTCATGAGCGTCTCTTCGAATGTGATTATCCCAGAAATGGATTTCTCAAACGACCCTTCGGCTGTGAACATGACATCTCGCTACTCACGGCGATTGTCTTCCATGTCCTCCTTCCCTACTTTTTCCAGCCTCTTCTTGATGCTCCCTATAGATTCATCCGCAGCTAATCATCCCTTGCTTTTAGCGCCTATAGCTAGATCTGTCTTGTGGAGTTCTTCATGCTCAAGCGGTCGCGGCGGTTGAAAATGCTGAGTTAGGAGAGGCGCGGATCCGTGAGCAGACATCTTCGTTTCTCGTCAGGCAGGTGCATTGTTTGACGATGCTGAGTGAAGGCGAATTGGGAAAGCAGACGAGTTTGAACACTATGTACCCTCCACAAGTTTGATTCTCCGTGGCATCCAGCATTCATTTTGGTCATAATGACGTTTATGCTCCATACCCGCATCGAAGCACATCTACATCTTCCCCGCAAAATGGTTAGATGAATGAGGCTCTTGTGGTGTTTGTAGTCTCTCTTGACGTAAGTCGTGCGGAGACTTTTGCTCGCCGTTCGAACGGGACTGGGGTGACGTCCAATGGTATGCCTCTCGACAGTGCTCTTCTCTGTGGATTAAGAATTATTGTTATCGGATTGATTCATCGTACAACCTACTGAAACGGATGAGCCAGACAAGTTCTGGGAGTGAAAAATTGTGGCGTCGCATAAGCATTGGAGGATGGGCAGGAATGTCCCACAAAGAGAGGGATCCATTGACCCATATTAGCAATTTGTCCTTTTGAACGCTGCTCGCGTCAAGATGTTCTTTTTATAGATTACATGGACGGAATGGATGCAGCAACTTGCCCCAATTTGAAAGTTTTCATTTAGAAGGACTCGTCCTTACCTTTGAATTGCGAAGTGATGCCATCGATTGTAGGGAGATTTCGACTTTCGTGGTGATCTCCGTGGCTTTCACACATGGGGGTAGTGAGACAATCCAAAAGAGGATTTGCCCATTGATTTCGACTCCGTGGATGATCTCCTCACAGCTTCAGCGAGGGGATTTCGAAACCATCTGTCTCTGAATTTCAAGGCTTTGGCGGCCTCGGATGCGTTCGGCGTAAACGTCTCTAGGTATGGATCGCCGTAGGTCTACATCCTTGCAAAATAGCATTGTTTGAATGTTTCTCCAAGAATGCATCTAGGAGACTGCATATCTCGCCGATTCTCATGTCCAGTTTCTGACCCATTATCATGCATTGACTATAAGCGAAAGTTCTGAGAGAGAAAGAGATAGATGAGGTGTTTGCCGTCCTTGGCTGTTATCAGTGGGCATAGTGCGTCGTTCGAGTCGTCTGCAACCATTATTGGATGAAGTGACAATCGTGTGTTCCGCGGAGCAATACTGGGATATCCCCGCGTTCCCCCATGCCAATGCTCAAAGCTCAGCAGCTTTCTTCAAAAGCCCGTCCGAGGCATACTTGGCAATGAGCTCCTGCTTCACGGTTTCAATCTCCGAGCCTTTGGTGGCGGCCAACGCATCGAGCCTCGCCTTTGCTTCTCCAACGAACAGAGTGTTTGTGAGATCTCCAAGTACCGAAAAGAATGTTGCACCACTCTCGGTCACCGGCGAGCTGAACTGAGTATAAACACCGTCTGTTTGTGTGCCGCGCATTATGAGAATCATTTTCTCGAAACCAATGGTGCCGGGACTCATCACGACGTGGACCTGTGACTGTTCGTTCACGAGGAATTTGTGGAGAGTGTTTGGTGGAACTGAGACCGCCTTCCCCACTTCGGGCTCGATCGGCTTGAGGCTCTCCTCGTTCATATCCTCTGAAGTCCAAACGGTCATTGAACCACTGACGAGGGTGAATGTCTCGGTAAAGTCAGCATGATAATGCGATGGAGCTTTGGAACCAGGAGCTAAGTCGGTATCGATAACTGTACGTTTGCCCCCATTTGTCAAGGATGATTCGACAATGGTTGGTATTTTATCGACATCCATTCTGGGTCTTGCACTCGCTGCTCTGGGCGGATGTCTATAGATATCTCCTTCAAGATTTGGTATGTAACCCAGGGAGACCTAAGGCTTTGATTCAAGTTGACACAGACTTGGAGAGAAGCCGTTAGCGGCCGAGAGAATGAATCCTTTTATAAGCACATCCAAAGGGTGACCCGAGTTGCTTCCACACATATCAGCATGTAGTATCGTACCGAGTGTGTGCAGGTATTCCCTGGCCATAGTTCGCATGTACTGGAGACAGTGGATGGATGAGAAAGTATGGAGCTTTAAAGACAACCACTCCTTTCTCGTATAGTGCAGCTAAAATCTGACCAGGCATGTGGTAGACAAACGGCGAATGCGACAAATGTTGATTCCACGACTGCCTCGGGCGGGGAGAGGCATCATGGACGTGGGCCGAACCATGGCGGAATTTCATCACTCATAGGATTTGACACCTCCACCAAACACTGCTAACTGTGCGCAAGGGGCTGCGGAGTCTTGATTGCAAACAATCAAAATGATATCTTTGGAGGTGTCAGAACTGGGACCAGGCAATGTGGAAGAAGAATCTGGGGTGGTTGGATCGATTGCTCGTTCGGTACTCGATGGCTGCGAGGTTGGCGCCTAACGCACACTGTACAGCAATATATGAGAGCAAAGGGTGTATCTGCGTAGAAAGATGGTTGGCGGCCCTACGGATGTTGCAGCGAGACTGATGTTGGGCGGGCGAACAGTGAGCGAAAAGATGGGCAATCGGCTGAGTCCCCTTGTCTCCCGCGCCGGTCCCGGCCCGATGGTTGACCTATGACGCCCCGATCTCACAGCACCTTCTTGACCTTAGGGGTTACAGGATGGCTAGGAGGTATCTTGGGATATCATGAGCTCCGGGTGGACGAAATCCGGCTTGAGGGACGACCTGAGCGATCCCCATATGGATCGGTAAACTCACTACCTAGTAAGCTTGTCCCGCTCTTCGCTCCTCCTCAGTACTTCTAGCCGGATCCTAGTGGCTGGTAAGACCTATCTAGTGGCTTAGGTGGGAAGCCAAATCTCACCTCCTGGCTGGCTCATAGTATGCTCGTGGCTTATTCTCCCGCCCTCTTGAGCCCAGTCCGGACTCCGGCACCTTTCACTGCTACTAAAAGCTGCTGTTTCCTCTAATTATGTTTAAGGGAACATCTCACCGGCGTTTGCCCCTGATGACAGATGTTGATCGTGACGGGCACCACCTCCTGCAACCCCTCTTGAACAAGGTATCATTGATATACTTGTGGCAATCGGCTCATGGCGTGCTAAAATTTGCCGATGGCGCGATCTGATTGAACGGTGCCTGGAACATACAAGCTTTTGGCTGCATGCGGATGTTGTCTCGCGGTAAAGGTAAAAATCACCTAAGAATATTCCAATGCTTGAATCCCCAAACCTGTTGGAACTTTTATTCGATGTTGGTAGACTTGGGTATCATCGATATAGGCTGTGGTTGAGTTCTCGAAGGACAGATTTGTCCGACACTGACACGTTGACAGATCCCATAATCCAGGGTACGGAAAAAGATAATCTTCACTTAGAATATTGGGTAACCCTGTCCCTTTGAGAGAATCAGCTACCTCTGCCTCTCAGGTTACTGAGCACTTCCCCCTTACAGACGTCAGGAACGCCAGGCTTCTCCTTCAATCGACTCGGATTGATAGGCACCGAACAGGCTCGCAGGTACCTCGTACGAAGTACCAAGTATCTAGCTCCTCGATATGGTTAGTGTCTTGGCGGGGATTTGCTTTCCCCAGAGTTGCATCTTACACCGTCTTTGTTTTCGACTTTGACTTGTGCCAACTTGGATATATGTGAGACGTCTGTTGGCGGCAGAGAATTGTTTTCGACTCATATACATACCGACAGAATGGTATCCGAGAAGTAGCGGCTCGAGGTTTGCGTCAAAAAGTCGAACACTCAATATATTTTGCTACCTGGAAGACGGACTTGTGCGTGGCTGCAGCCTATACGCCTAGCGTCTCGTGGCTTGCTCAACCACCATGTCCTCAAAATCGAACAATGCAATCTCAAGATTTGGCTCCCTATGGCCAAGACCCTTCGTCCAAGAGCCTGTTGACGTCCTGGATATCGAACCCAAAAGCTCGCCAACACCATGGAGCACACTATTCCTCTTCGCACTCTCAGCGCTCGGATTGGCAGCTCAACTTGCTGTGGCAATACATGCGTCGTGGGCAATCCTCGCTACCGTGCTTTGGGTTGCCGCGGCTCTTCATATTGTAACGTGGCGCCCGAGGACCGCCTCGATATTTCTGTTTTTCGATTTCTTCGCCATCTTTGTGGTGGGAGCATGCATGGTTGCCACTCAGTTTCATGAACACATGGGTAGCAAGAACGCAATTCTCGCATTTTGCAGTGCGGGACTGGCTGCCGCTGCCGTTATTGTCGTTATCAACATGCCGCTTCGTGACTCAGCTTTGAGTCGCGCTGAGATCAGTCGTCCTTTCGCAACACCATCCCACGCATTCCGATCTCCTGAGGACAACCTTACACTCCTGCAATGGATGACAGTGTCTTGGCTATCACCCTTGATCAAGATCGGGAACAGGAGACAGCTCCATGACGAAGACGTCTGGGCCCTCGCCTATGAGTTTCAGCATCGACATCTGCACGATGCCTTCCGCGAGCTCAAGGGCACCGTTGTCCGAAGGTTGCTGAAAGCAAACTGGATTGACCTGGTTCTTCTGACAGCTCTGGCGATCCTGGAACTAGCTGCCAATTACTCCGCTCCCATGATTCTCCAAAAGCTCCTGCAGGCCATGGAAAGAATAGGCATTGACAGGCGACCAGCAATCGTGTATGCAATCCTCATACTTGTGGTCAGAGTTGTCTCCGCTCAGAGTGCAGTCTTCAGCTTGTGGTTTGGACGACGATGTTATGAACGGTCTCGCGGCGAGATGATCACCATGTTATATGAAAAGACGTTGAATCGGAAAATCCTGGGCAGTTTGCCCCAGCAAGCCGAGAGTCAAGCCGAGAGTCAAGCCGAGTCCGCCATGGAAGGCTCCGCTGATGCTTCCGACCCGGGAGAGACG